CTTTCAAAACTATGTTGCTGTTATTCTGATTAGGATTTTTAAATTTCTTTTGTTTTTAATACTAATGGGATGATTTCTGCATCTAATTGGGGAAGCAATGCAGAAGGAACACTGTATTTGGGCAGAATAAATATGTATTTCTCCTTTGAAATGAAACAAAAAGATAATGAATACTTACAGTACTTTGAACAAAAAGTTCATTATAGTAATGAACCAAGAACTTGAGTCTGGTAAAATTACTTTGTTTGGGCACTGTTGGCAGCAGTGAGATGGAATTTAAGCAAGAACATTCTTAATACCCAAAAATGCTTATATACAGATTTCCACTGTTTACTGTGATATCTATAGAGGTCCTGTATTTACAAGTACAAATAAAACATATCTTCAGAAATTTAAGTACAAACAGGAATCAAAGATTAACCCCTGAAATTGTCACTGGGCAGCCATTGCTATAACTCTAGCCTCCACTGCCTCTGTATTAAGCAATTTCACAGCACCCTGCTTTCTTTTTTGTAACATTCATCATACAGGTAGGCACTAATTATGTGTTGATATGGCTCTTAGACTGTAAGTCCCATTGGAACGGGGGCTGGGGCTAATTCAGTGCCTGACACTTAGTCCTTAGTGTATATTTGTAGAATTGAATTAAACTATGAGCTTTGTACTTTTCTATTTCCAACGACTTCTTGAACAAAACAGAATATTCTGCCAGTACCTCAAAATCAATTCATCTAAAACCTAACTTCTCATGTTCCACATAAAACCTGATTTTCATGTTCTCATTTTGGGTTAATGATACCACCATTTTCCCAGTCACCCAGGCTTGACACCTTCACACTATGCCAGCTTTAATCATAGTGAAGTACAGTTTTGATTATTTCACACCTTTCAAAAACATTCTATGGCAGTTCTTCAGCCTTGAATCCAAGCTCCCACAGCCTGCCTTCCTGACCTTATTTTCCCCTTCCTCCAGCGTGCACCATATGCTCCTGTCAGAGCATGACTGTTGGGCCTCTCTGGGCCCCATACGGTGTTCCAGGCACCACTCACTGGCTCCTCGTGGCCTCAAATCCATTTATCCCAGCACCTCCTGAAAGAACATCCCTGTGAAATTACCAATATTATTCTCTAGCCCCCTCCCTCTTTTTTCTTTTCTTTAATGATTCTGGATAATGAATTAAGCATTTTCATTATCTGAAATCATCTCATTCTTTGTTCAAAAACTTTACGAGGAAAAAGGCCATTGAAAAGTCTTTTAAAAAATTATTCACTAATATAAGAAAACATTAAAACAAATCTAAGACATATCCTAATATATTTTCAATGGAAAGTAATCATTTGTCAAGCTTAAGCCTGTCAAGCTTATTTCTCAGAATAAAGTGAAATTCTTGTGGGTGACAAGTGAAACTTATACCCAGAAGTGGTTGTGGTGTGCCATGTAATTAACCTTTTCCTCTCTGTGTGATTAAAGGGTCGTGCATGTTCACTGTATGTGAGAGTCACATCTTGTTAAATGTCATTATCATTTCACATCTACATATGTATTTAAATAGCTACATTATTTTTTCCCTGACATTCTGTGCTTTTGCAACTGAAGGCATCTGTTCAGCACCCTAGACCCTACATAGCATACAAGGCCGACTATGGCAACATTCTTTTTGCCAGGGAGTCAATGCTGGTTTTTAAATTTTGCTTTCTTTAGTAATTGTTAGAATAGGTCACAGTGAACAAGGTCATCAGACTTGGGCACTTGAGTACTTTCATGGGAGACATTTTAACAGTCATTTACCACTGGAATAATGCTTACATAGTGCCTTTCTTCAGCACCTTGTGGTAGAGTAATTGCTAAGCTAGAAGTCAGAAAATCTATCCAGCCTTGTAGCTGATACCCATGAGTGGTCATAGAAAGGTTTGCATCCAGTGTCCTTGTTGATAAAATGAGGGCTTGGCTTTTGTCAGTTACTATATTTTGGAGATGGTCCATATGAATAAGGTAAATATGCTTCATAATTTTTTTTACATCTCAACATATTCCAATGTATGAATGTCATAGTTCATTTAGTCAGTCTCTTATAGATGGGCATTTAGGTTGTTTCTAGTCTCCTGTTATTACAAACAACAAATGTAATAGACATCCTTTTACATATGCCTTTCCACTCATGTGAGTTAAATATATAGGATAATTTTCTAAGAGAAAAATTATTTTGTTATATGGTATGTGCAATTTTATTTTAATGAAATGTGCTAAATTATCTTCCAAAGAGATTATATTAGTTTTATATTTTCACCAATAGTGGGTTTTTTTTGTTTTGTTTTTTTTGTTTTGAGACAGAGTCTCACTTTGTTGCCCAGGCTAGAGTGAGTGCCATGGTGTCAGCCTAGCTCACAGCAACCTCAAACTCCTGGGCTCAAGCAATACTTCTGCCTCAGCCTCCCGAGTAGCTAGGACTACAGGCATGCACCACCATGCCTGGGTAATTTTTCCTATATATATCAGTTGGCCAATTAATTTCTTTCTATTTTATAGTAGAGATGGGGTCTCACTCTTGCTCAGGCTGGTTTCAAACTCCTGACCTCAAGCTATTCACCAAACTCAGCCTCCCAGAGTGCTAGGATTACAGGCGTGAGCCACCGTACTCGACCTACCAATAATGTTTTAAGTGACCTGTTTTCTAAACCTTCACAAATACTGATTTATCCTAATTTTTAATTGTTGCCAGGTTTATTGATGAAAATGATTCTTCATTGATATATTGGGAATATCATTAATTATGAATGAGGTTGAGGATCATATCCTATGTATAAAGCCTAATTTATTTGTTTTATGATGGATTCTTAGTCCGTGAAGCTACTATAGCAAAATATCATAAACTGGGTAGCTTACAAAGAACAGAAATTTATTTCTCACAGTTCTGAAGGCTAGTGAATCCAAGATCGGGGCACTGACAGATTTGGTGTCTGGTGAGGGCCTGTTACCTAGTGCATAGATGACACCAACTAGCTATGTCCTCACATGCTAAAGGGACAAAGGCAGCTCTCTGGTCCCTTTTATAAGGGCGCTATCCCATTCATGAGAGCTCTGCCCTTATGATGTAATCACCTTCCTTTCTCCTAACACCATCACCTTGAGGGTTTGAACTTCAACATACAGACTTCAGAGGAACACAGACATTCAGACCATAGCAGTCAGGCTGTTTAGACATATCACTTTGCCCATTTGGGGTTTTTTTTCTTACTGAATCATAAATGTCCTTTACTTCAAGAAAACCAGTCCTAGATAATGCCTTTATTTCAAATATTTTTTTACCAGTTTATCCTGTCATTTTTTGTGTATAGACTTTGTTCTTATTATTTCTTTTGATTTTTAGATAGTTCTATGACTTTTGGGTTTGGGGCTTTTACTTAGGAAGATTTTCCCATTCCAGAACTAATGAAAATATACTTTTCCATATTATCTGCTATACTTTTTTCTTTCAATGTTGAAATGTTTGATCCACTTGGAATTTATTTTAGTATAAATAGCAAGTTTGGATTCAAATGGACTATTATCACCACAGTAATTATCTAACATTTTCTTATCCCCCTACTGATTTGAAATGTCGCCTTTATCATGAATTGCTAACAGTAGTACATGTTATATATTATTGTCCAAACTTACTTGACCAGAGAACCACCTCCTCTGCCCCTCCTCCCCCAAACAAGTACATACACACACAGTTTCTTGTAGGACTAGTGTTCTGTGGTGCACCTTTTGGGAAATGCTGTTATATGTACTGAAGTTGTTTTGTTTTTTGTTTATTGTTTTTTTTAAATGTATATCTACTTAATGTAACCAAACTAAGTTTTTGCTATAATATTTTGTAATGACAAATTCATCTCTGGATTATATGTTATGTTTAAATCTTATGCCCTAATATGTTTATATTCCAAAAATGGCTGTGCCCTTTTTTTTTTTAGTAGAAAATTAAATGATGAGTAGAGGAGTGACTTTTTTTCTCAGATTTTGCCAATTGTTTTTATTAGTTTTGAAAGTGAAAGAACTTTATTTTTAAAATTAGAAGAAGATAAATTTAGGTGCCTTTATGAGCTTAAGTAAATGACTATAATGCCCAAGTCATTTTTTAACAACAGAATCTAAATTATAACAAATTTGGAAATTAAAAATTAATAAGAATACCATATGATATGTTATGGAATATTTATATTACCATTTTTCCTGGTTGTTTTATAGTTTAAATTGAATCATAGTTTATAAGTGACATTCAAGAATAGTTTTTTTTTAAAAGCTGGAGTGTTGGTATGGTAATAATTCTTTATTTTATAAATGTCATCTCTATAATCCTATTTAGTATAAGACATGAAACTATTCGATTCAAATTTGGATACAATGTAATAATGTAGCAATTATGGTTTACACATTCTAATATATCTGTAAAATATTTTTCACTTAAGCTTTGAAAATATAGCCTTATGTTTTATCCAGAGCAAGTAAAAGACAGCCCTGTAATCTGTGCTAGTAGGGACAAAATGAATGCCACAGATCCAAGCATATTCAAGATAAGAAGGCAACAATACATTATAGCAGTCATAGTTGCCACAATTCCAGTCCATATTTAAGATAGATAAAGAGGAAAAGTGGTTATCACATAAACTCCTTTTATTTCCAGAAATACCATAGCAAATGTCCACATATACCATACTGGACAGAAATACATCATTTGGCCACCCCTATCTTAGCTGCAGGGAAGCCTCAGAAAGAGCTTTTCTTGACTCTGTAGGAAAGAGAGGGTAGGGAATGGATATGTTGCACTGGCCTACCAGCAGTGTTGCCCTATTTGTGAATAAGAATAGCCATCATAATATCAGAAATAATAATAGATGATATTTATGGAGAACTTAGTACATAGGAGGCACTGTTCTAACCTCTTTTACACATAGTACCTCACTTAATCCTCACAACAGCCTTTTGAAGTAAATATTACTATTACCTCATTTTATAGGTATGGGGAGACACAAAGAGATGGAGATGGTCTTTAAGGGGCACCCAGCTGGTAAGAATAAAAGCCAAGATTCAAGCCCAGTAGTTTGACTCTGTAACTTTGTTCTTAACTGCTCTATTTTAGGAAAAACAATAATAATAAAACTACTTTCTTCTTTGTCAAATATTCTAATTTTTCCTTCTAACTTACAGTAGGAAATATGTTTAATTCAAGTTGTGTAAGTAATGAAGAATAGGGAGGAAAAAATAGAAATATTAAACTGTTGGAGTTTTTCTATAAAATCCCATTTCTTAGAGTTGAGCCAGTCATTTAATTACAGTATAAAAGAGAACTGTTCTGATTATCATTTTATCAGTTAAATCCCAATGAAAATTGGCTTTTCAACTCCCTTGACTCAAATAAATTTTCAGTTTCACATCTGGATTAAGACAAGTTCAAAGACTTTGTTTTAAGTTATTCCTGTCTTTTTGCTGTCTGGTTTAAGTAGTATTTTTAGCTTTGTTCTAGATGGTAAAAGACTGAACTAGGTTATCAAAAGAAGCCACATAATCTGTTTCCCAAATCTCTGTAACCAGAAGCACAGAACAATAATTCATGTAATTATGTTAGGTCAACTGTTTAATGTATTCTGTTGTTGTAGGTTTTTTTGTTTGTTTGTTTGTTTTTAAGAAAGAGTTGGGTTAAACTGAGAGCCTATTTTGTGCATCAGCGGCACACTTTCAATAATTCTTTGAGAAAACTGATCTTTCCTTCCCTACTCCCACTCCACATTCTAGGTTGTAATCATTATATTTCTTACTACCACTGAAAGGAGGAAATATAAAAGCTCATGCAAGGTAAACACAATGGAGAATGATCACAGGTTGAGAATAATCATTTCTTTCCTAAAATCCCCTTTTCCTGTTAGTTTACCATGTCAATTACCCTCAGCTCTCTTTTCTTATCACTGCACACACTCTCCCCAAGGGAGCTCATGCTCTACCATAACATCAACAACCGCCACAACAACGATTAACTATTATTAAGCTCTTATTATGTACCAGACACTCTGCTGAGCACGTACAGGACTTATCTCCTTTAATCCTACTTTGTGAAGTATATGCTATTCTTCTTTCTATTTTAACATTGTGGGGGAAGGGGACAAAATAAGGGTTAGAAAGGTTGGGTAATTTACCCAAAGTAACCCTGATTGCTAATTAGAAAGCCAGTTTTCAAATCTAAGTCATTTGAATATAAAACTTGTGTTCTATACCACTTTACTATGTTTGTACTTTACTATGTTTTCCTAGTTTAAAGTATAATCCAGGGGTCCTCAAACTTTTTAAACAGGGGGCCAGTTCACTGTCCCTCAGACCGTTGGAGAGTGCGCACTGTGGGCCAGGGACGAGTCGGCTGCTAAGCAGGACAGGCAGCTGCGGCAAAAATACCCAGCAGGCTGGTTAAATGTCCTAGGAGGGCGGTATGTGGCCCATGGGCCGTAGTTTGAGGACGCCTGGTATAATCTATATGCTTCTAAGTTAAATCTATTAGTATAAACCAATTCCTCTCCCACACTAAACTTATGAATCTAAAAGCCCTCTAGATACTTTTAGTCACCTTGCAGTTGGCTATCTCAGGAACATCTCAACTTAACATACCCAAAATTGAACTCCTGTCCAGGTTCCGTCTATTCTACCACCAAAGACAGTTCTGTACTTGGTGAATCAACATACATCCAGTTGGCCAAACGAAATACCTGGAAACCATCTCCAACTTTATTTCTTTACAATATTCACATCCATGCAGAACAAGATTACTGTATGTCTACTCCTTTCTGTTTGCATCTTCACAACTTGCATAACTTACTCAGGGCCTGCAATCACACTGTCCCTGGATTTAAATCATTATGTGTTCCTTTTCTTATTTCCCTTGCCCTGAGTCTTGTCTCTTCTCAGAGTGATCTTTCTAAGGTAAAAATTCGACCATTCATAGCTTTAAATCAGTTAATGGCTCCCTTAAAGATAAATCCAAACTTCATAGCATGGCATATCTAGCTCTTGGCAAGTTGGCTCCTGGCTGCCTCCTCACCTTCCCTCTCATCACTCCCTTTCTGGTACCCTGCTCTCTATTTCTACTTACATCTGAGTTCTTCCAGATGTTTCATGTTCCTCCAGAAACACTGCTGTATACAGCATTTCTGACAGCTGTGGCAAGGCCTTCTTCTTCCGGCAGCTCTGGCGCTCTTAAAGCAAATCTTTAAGTCTCAGGTGTTCAGGAAGCCTCCTGTGACTGCTGTGTCCTTTCTCTCTGCCCCTCCTAGGTGTCCCCAACCACTGCACCACATGCTTGATATCTCTCTTTTAATATTCATTATGTTATATTGTGCTGTTTGTTACCTATCTTCCTCCCCTTCTCAGAGGTCAGCAGCTTTGAGTCAAGAATCAGTCTCTTCCTTCATGTTCTCTTCCTCTTCTTTAGTCTTTGTCTTTCCCTTTCAAGAAAATATTTAGTTACTTTATATTAATATTTATCAGCATAATGTCTGCAAATTCCTAAATTAAATATAATAGGATTATAGCATAATAAAATATCTTCCCCCTCACTCCTCTCAACTTTCTCATACTTCCCAGAGACAATAATTTTTAATTCCTATTTATTTCTTTCGATATTTTCCTGTTCTCTATTTCTAGATAATATGCATAGACTATTTGCCAATATTTCATTTTAGATATTACTGAGTCTCTGGTAAGTGGTTGCGAATTTAGTTCCCTTATCCCTTCTCCCCACTTGTGCACTCCTTTTATACCCATCCCCCTATCGTCTTTCATTACAATTATACCACAGCTGATGGTCAAGAGAACAGCAATGCTTTATAATATTGCCATTGCATTACTATTCCTCTTGTTTCCTGTCTTAGTTTGTTGTTGCTGGTATAACAAAAATACCTTAGACTGGGTAATTTATAAACAATAGGAACTTATTTCTCACAGTTCTGGAGGCTGGGAAGGCCAAGATCCAGGCAACAGCAAATTCCATGTCTGATGAGGGTTCACTCTTTGCTCTGTACAGGTGCCTCACCACAGTGCCCTTACACAGTGAAAGGAACTAACAGCTTCTTCTCACCTCTTTTTTAAGGCCACTATTCCCTTTCATGAGATCTCTGCCCTCATGACCTAATCACCTTATAAAGACCCTACCTCTTAATATCATTACATTAGAGATTAAGATTCAACATACTAAGTTTAGGAAGACATCATAGCATTTCTTATTGGACAACATTGTTATTTCTAGGTTAATACAAACTTGATTTATTTAAAAAGTTGGTTAGTATTTGTGTATATCTGTTACTCTTTTTTTTTTTTTTTTTTTGAGACAGAGTCTCACTTTCTTGCCTAGGCTAGAGTGAGTGCCATGGCATCAGCCTAGCTCACAGCAACCTCAAACTCCTGGGCTCAAGCAATCCTCTTGCCTTAGCCTCCCGAGTAGCTGGGACTATAGGCATGCGTCAGCATGCCTGGCTAATTTTTTCTATATATATATATTAGTTGGCCACTTAATTTCTTTTTATTTATAGTAGAAATAGGGTCTTGCTCTTGCCCAGGCTGGTTTCGAACTCCTGACCTTGAACAATCCACCTGCCTCGGCCTCCGAGTGCTAGGATTACAGACATGAGCCGCCGCTCCCGGCCTATATCTGTTACTCTTTTATCCAAATTCTCTAATACCTCTGTGAAATAATCAGCAATCAGTTTTCCAAATGGTTCAATACAGAGGATTTGCTATCAGTTCCATGGCCACTGCTCTTTCCTATAGTCTGGTTTCCTCCCATATGGTCCCTGTGATCCAAACTGGCCACTCTGGGCCGAGAATATCCAGGGATTCCTTTTGCCACTTTGCTCTTTTGTCCCTTTCCCTTTTCTGGATCCCATGTTTTCCTCTTTCTTACTTTTCCCTCTTATTTTGCAAAAGCACATCTTAGAATCTCTTTCTAAGAAAATGTGTACAGACACTTGCATGTTTCAAAAATGTCCATTTTCTATCATTTATTGGCAGTGTAACTATATCTTCACTGAAAATTATTTTTCTTCAGAATTCGCTTGTTTTGGAATTTCTTGCCTGTCTTTTGAAATTCATTGTTGGTATTGAGAAATCCAGTCCTATTCTGATTTCTTTCCTATGTATGTGACCTATTTTGGTTTGTTTGCTTATTTTTAACTTCCTGGAACCTTTTAGGGATCTTCTTCTTATCTTTACTTATCTGCAATTTCAGTATTGTACCTGGGCTAAAGAAAATGGAATAAAGGAAGGAGAGTTTCTACCACAACATTGTGTTATCTTTTTCCTCCTGCCCTTTAAGTTTAGGTGGTTTTCAAGATTCCTCTCCTGATGCAGTTATATGCACTTTCAGAGTGTTGAATGAGTATTTTTTGTGATATGGAAATAACTTCCAAAAATATTACCCTCTTTTTTGTCTGAATTTGAGGCAGAATTTCCAGCTGACTTCCAGAAGTTATTTGCAGATTCCTACTTGCACCTTCCACTAACATGTCCCAAAGGAAATTCTCATCTCTACCTTTTTACCCCACCAAAATCAATTATTTTTTTTATTATTATTATTTTTAACATTTTCTCTTTCTCAGGCCATACACCCCAGACATGAGTCCTTAGCAGCTCCACTCTCTTCCTGTCCCCACATCCTATTGATTCTGCTTTAGAAATACCTCCTCAACTCTCCCTTGTCCATTTCCCTTAACATAGTGGGATGTTTAAAATACCATTTACAAATTCAACAAGGTGATATGTTATTCAGGTGTAGAAAGGCTTTGACTATTGCAGTTAGTCTATTTATTTAAAAGAGTTTTCACAGCAGGAGAGAAGCTATAAATATTTTGAGTGCAGTTAGAGAAATTTAGTTCTGGTCTATAATAAAAAAATGGCTAATTTTAATTTCTCTGGTTAGTATTAGAATAATGTAAATATGAATCATTTAAACACTTTATTTTACCTCATCTTTTGTTTTTATCCATACCTTTTACCTTTGTGCCTGGTATTCCTTTTGCCAAGAATGTTCCTCCCTCCTCAGTCCCTGCTGTGGCTAATTCCTGCTTATTCTTCAAGTCATCATTCACTAGGAAGTCTGTATATATCCCTCCCCTGCCTGCCATACTTTTCTGCTTCCGAGAGCAGAAAAGATTTCTTGTTAACCTTGGGTCCTAGGTATCCTTCATGCCTAGTAATATCCTAGCACACAATACCATATGCCAGGCAAATGTGTCAGTTGAATGTTTTAAATGCATTTTTAATATTTGAAAGATCATCTTCCTGACATGTCTCCATATTAAACATTGGTCTTATTTCAAGAGTCCATTTGTACTTCAAGTCAGTTTTCCTTAGAAATGATGTCATACATGATTAACCAAGTACGTAATCAATACACTATAAAAGACTTAATTTGTAATATATCTAAAATTGTGCTTGAAACATTTAGTAATAAAAAGATATTTTATAAACTTACTATAGTTCACTATAGGTTTCATTTATGAATTTATTTCCCTATATTTTAATATCACGTAGCAATTTACCAGGTGCTTCCATTTGTATTAGCTCATTTGCTCCCCTCATTAACTCTAGACAGGTATTATCTCTATTACCAATGCCAGAAATGATTATGTAAATAGTCCAGTGTAACACAGACAGTTGAAAGCTCAGACTAGAAGGCAGGTTGTTTTACTTCAGTATTGTATTCCTCCCATTATGTGCATGGAAATGAAGGCCAGAAAAGCCACTGGCTCTGGGAGACAAGAGCAGAGATCGAGGTTCCAGATGGAGAATGATAGATGGGAGAGAGAGAATGCGGACAACCACAGGCAGTTGCATTTAGCTGACAAATAGGTTGTGATGGTCAGAAATAAGGGATAAGATTGGAAGAGCAATCAGAATCATTTTGGGGGGAAGTGGAAAAGTTAGGACTTTATACTGTGAGAACTGAGATAATGTTGGAACTTTGTGATGGGAGAATTGAAGATCATAATTCTGCTATAAGAATTGTCTGTAATCTATGGGGAAGAATTAGGGAGAAATTGGAAGCAACATGACTATCTAGCCAACTCATGCAGTAATCCAGGTGGGAAAAAAATTAATTCTATAGTGTAGTTGAAAAAGGAACAAAATATCAGTTCAGGAGATATTGGAGAGTTTTAATCAACAAGATTTGGCAACTAAATAGATGTGTGAGACAAAGGAAAAGGAAGAAACAAAGCTGTGTGTCGTTGACAATGGTGATAGGGTTGTAGTCCCATCACTTCCCTGATGCCCTGTCCATCTGTGACATTTATTCTCCTGCATGAGTAGTCCTTAGTCAATTTAGTCAACATACATTTAGTTAATTCAGTCAATGTATATTTATTGAACACTTTTTATGTAATACTAGCATTTTCCTAGATATTAAACAAAATCTATAATCCCTGTCCTCAATGAGCTCATAGCATAGTGGTAGAAACAGTGAAATAAAAATATAATATTGTGAAGAATTTATCGGTGTATGTACTACATGCCATTGGGACACCAAAGGGCTCCCTGTTTAGCCCAGGTAGGTTAGGGAAGGATTCTCAGTTCTCTGTCTTGAAGAAGAGATAAGAGCTAGCTTGGTGAAGAAAGTGAAAAAGATGTTCTGTGTCAAGAGAACAGTATGCTCAAAGGCATGAAGCAGAGAACATGAAACTGTAAGTTGCTTAGTGAGCCTAAACATGTCAGCATCTGTCTCTTAAGAACAATGGGATTATCCTACCTAAGCCTAATACAATTATCACATTCTTTTAACTTAACATTGGTACAGTATAATTATCTAATATCTAGTCCCTATTCAGATTTTCCCAATTAGCCAAATAATGTAATTTGTAATTTTTCCAATCTAGGAACTAATCAAAGACTGCATTATATTTAGTTGTCATGTCCCTTCAGTCTCCATTCATCTAGAACAGTTGTCTAGCTTTTTCTTATTTCTCTCTCCTCCTTCTTGTCTTGGTCTATCATGATATTGATAGTTTTTAGATCCCAAGCCAGTTGTGACACAGATTGTCCCTCACTTTGAATTTATATGATTGTTTCCTCACATTTAGATTGAGGGTCAATATTTTTGTGCAAAATACTACACAGGTTATGCTTTGCATCACTTCTGGAGACAATTGATGTGAATGTAGCCTATTGTTGGTAATATCAAATTTGATTATTTGGGTAGTAAGGTGGTATCTATCCATTTTTGTTATACTTTTTTTTTAGTATCAGTGCAGATGCATGATTCTTTTTTACCCAATGTATGATAATCCATTCCTATCATTATTTATTTCTTACTCAAATTGTCCTGAACTTGCCCAAGGCAACCCTTCAGTCTGTCCTCAGAACATCCCTATCTGTTTCTGAGCACTTTCTTATTTTCTGACACAAGATGTTTCTGCTCATTTCACACTTTCTTGGCCTCAGCCGTAGAGTCAGAGACTTCTCTAAATGTTCTGGTTCTGGACTAGGTATGCTCATTAATACTGTAGTGTCATTGTCTCTGAACTCTTTTGGTCCACAAATCTAGGAAAAGTATTTTTTTTTAACCTTGAACTTATACTGATACCTGTACATTCAAGTCAGTACTTCATGGTTCTTCCTTTCCTTCTCTCATTTCATATTGTTTCCTTCAGTGAGCACCCCTATTGCCAACAACATCAACACATTTACCCATCCGCTCAATCTTATAATACATATGCAATAGTTTTAGAACCACTACATCAGTACCATTACCAAAAACAAAGTTTGTAAGGGGAAAGTTCAAAGGTTATTGCATTCTTTTCTCCCCTCGTTTATGATTAATGCTGTCAATATGAGAACAGCTTCATTTGTTTCTGTTTGATTTCAACTTCAGGATTTTTTTTTCAATCTCTTGCTTACTTGGAAAAGATTAAAAATATTTTTATTTTTTAAATGTTTTATTTTACTAATCAGATATATTCACTACCTTAACTATTTGGCATTAGCTGCAGTTCTTCTTAGGAAAAATGTAGTTGAGTTTGAGTGTAAATTTTCAAATAGCTAGATAGTTACTTATTAAACTGTCTGAAATATTTAATGTGTTTTAATTAAAATAGCCATCAAACCACTTTAGAATTAAATTTACATGCAAACTAACAACCTCCAAATACTCTATTTCTCACCCACCTTTTTTGGTAACACCTACAAGGTTTAGAACTCTTCTAAAAATATGAAACAGAACCAGATGGAAAAGGGCTGATACATATTTATATTTATATGTCTGTTTATAAACTGTAAATGAGTATGTTATTTGTATTGTACTGCATTTACTTGTCAGCTGTTCTCTATAAAGGGATTGTGTCTCCAAAAGGAAAACACAAAAAATCCAGGGGAAAATAGTTTTTCATTATTTTAAATGTAATAGTATGCCAGCAATACAATTTCATAAAGAAAGCCTGCAAATAACCTTTTTTGGAGAGGAAAAATAGTCCTTAGGGTTTCTTTGAATTTGGATTGGGCCAGTAGTTCATTTAGAGCTTTATCTCCTTCTTCCTTTGAATAATATTTAGCACTGATAAGTATACATACCTATGAATATTACAAGAATACTCTGTTATTTGTTGAGAGAATTGACTAGGTCCACATCCTTTGTTAATTATATCTAGAATGTCAAATTGAACTAATCATAATGGGATGCACTCTTTCAGATTTTTGAGAGGCTTTATTTTTTCATTACAGAAGATCAACTTTTCATACATTCTGTGAAATTTTGTAGTAAGTGTTCTGTGTCACCTCAAGTCAAGGGACGATTATCTTCTGATTTGAAAAATCAATTGTTGGGAGCATGTTCACAAAAGTTAGCATGGAAATATAATTTTGCACGATAAGTTTAGACAGCAGAACCTCAATAACAAAAACACTCTCACACCTGGTCGATTTTAGAATAGAGGCCAATGCCTTGAAAATAACCCTCTTCTATAAGGGAAATGTGATTTATGATAACCTGAGACACAGACATGACTAGAACCACATTCCATTTAAAGTTATTATGCCGTTGGACTATAAAAGCAGTATTTTGAAGTGAATCAATGGAACTCGGTCCTCTTTAGTAGACTGTAACACAGGCACTAATGAGACAGATTTCATTAAAAGATAGTTGATTTATGAGAGACTTAAAGTCCTATCTTATTTTGAAATTGCTGGCTTAGCCCTGGCATCTGATCTTTTTTCTCCCCACCATCACCATCACCAGTTTCTGTGTATGCTTTGACATTGCTATGGTAACCCTGAGGGCTGATGGAATTCCCTGCATCTCTTTTCACAGAGGGTGATGAGACAGGAGTGATGGATAGTCTGCTAGAGGCCTTGCAGTCTGGGGCTGCCTTCCGCGACAGAAGGAAAAGGACACCGAAGCCGAAAGGTGAATGCTATACTTGCTTCCTGTTACTTTCTAGGGAACGATCACAGAGAAGAACCCTTTTTTTTCCCTAATTCTTTTAAAAGTCATGTGTCAAGAATACAGTGCTATGGGCAACAACTGTTCAGAAGTTTCATAAGTTTACTTAATCCCTTGCACAGACAAATGTCAGAGATACGCATTCCAGTTGGCCGATGTCAGTAACGCATTAACAAATCAATGCACTGAACCTAGAAAATCCTGATTAGTGTGACAAGTCTCATCTAAAGAACCATATGTACCTTATCCCAGTGGAGTTTACAGTAGCATAATTAAATGGGAAGTAAAAGTCATAACATTACTGCTTCAAGTATTTCAGGGTATTGAAGCATTACTTTGCTGCCAGAAATACTTAACCTTGGAAAAAAGTCTGTCTAATACTGTTATACTTTTTGAGATGAACAGACCTCTATATTAAGTTTCTTTTATATATTTTTTTAACAGATGTTCGGCAAAGTCTCAGTCCAATGTCTCAGAGGCCTGTTCTGAAAGTTTGTAACCATGGTAATAAACCATATTCATAAATTGCACGTTCTTCTTATCTACTTTTATCCTATTGATCTTTGATTTTAGTAGACTTCTGTGAAGTTCTCAAGTTTCAGTATAACTAAAATAGTAAAACCATATTGATGTACTTATTTGTTATGAGATTGTACTGATATTTTTCATCCTTACATTATTGCCTTGAGGTTGTATTTAGGTTCTTCTTTCAGGTCTTGAATGAATGTGTTTTTTAATTATTATTATTTGAAGTTACCATCACACATTTCTGATTAGTGATGTCCAATGCACCCTTTCAAAAGCGATGTACTCTCATATGCTTTGAAGTATTGGATTTACTATGCATCTCAAAGTATTGAATCTGTTATCTGTTTTACTCTACCACATTTGCCAGTACAGTTAGAAATACTTTGATCAGCATTTTGACCAAATCATATAGATGAGCTTCACGTGATATTATTTTGGAAGGATGTGCTGAAATCACTAAAATGGTGAATTAACTTAGTCTCTGATATCTATGTAAAGCTGGCTCCTCTCCAAAATCCCTAACTAATCCTTCACTCTCAACTGCATGGAATCTTTTTCCCTGTTCAGGCTGTCATTTTGTGTTGATTGTGTTTTATCAACTTTAGTTCTTCTCCTGCCATGTTAAATATTTGGGGTTGTGCTTACCTTCTGCAGTCAAAAGCACCTTTATTCATTTTGAATGCTATTTATTCAGAGTGAGATTGTCACCAAAGTTTCTTAGCTTTGTAAATGGAAAAAACTTAAGAGATTTCATTTAAGGGATTTTTGGGTGCTGCTGAGTTAAGTCCTAGAAATATTAACATGTTACTGAGAAAGGAACCTGTGCCAAATTCTTAGGGAAGCCTAAAATAATTATGAAGTAAATAAGAGAAAGACATGGATATAATGATCTCTTAATAGCTAGATCCTTGCTGCCCGAGGTAAAGTATATATAGTAGGTGCTTAATAAATGAGAGGAAAGGTAAAGATCTGCAGTATTTTAAGTAGGTTTTTTGACCTCTTTTAGCATGTTTTTATTTTTGTTTTTCCTTCCCTATTATAACAATAGGAAAAAAAGTTGGAATAAGAGAGATTACCTGTGCATAATTAATTTCTAAATTTGAGTTTATGATTTAGAGCCATTTTGATGTACTAAATAATGGCCAAAGTTTAGAAGGTTTAGAGCTATCCCAGACCTTCCTTAGAGATTATTTTGTTTTGTAGATGAATAAATGGAAACCTAGAGAGGCTGAAAACTACAGAGTGAGTTAGTGACACAAATGTGACCATAATACATTTCTAATTCCTGTTATATTTCTTTTTTGAATTCATATAAGTACTTCAGTTGTTTTTTATTATTAAGATAAACAACTCAGCCCCCATTGTAAGTCATTAAAATGAAGAACCACAACCATAGCCAAACACAATGATTGTGATATGATTATAATAACATATGTATACCCATCCTATGCTTAATTAAAGTAAGTATCTTATATTTTATGTAGGGAAAAATTATTTAACTTTGTGTACTAGCCTTGGGGAAAGCAGTCCTATGACTGGGGGTATAATGGCTCAGATATAATTATAAATAGTGATTTTTCTGTTTAATATATAAAAGTAGATGAGCGTAGCATTTCTATAAAGCTAGTATGTACTGGCTTGAGTTCTAAGGCCACTGTGATAATTAAGCTAGTAGATTATACAGAAAGCCAAAGAAGATGTATCATAAAGATCAAATTCTCTCTAATATCAATGTATAATGGATTAAAGCATTTTAAAAAATTACTTTCTATTGATATTTCTGTTGTGGCTTACCTTTACATTTCTAAGCAAGTAGAAAGAAATCCAAATGACCAAATTTATCTTTAAGAATTTTGTGTATGGAGATAGATCTATTAGACTAGAAAAGTATAGGATTTGGTTAAGGAAAATGTCTTCATTGCAAAAAGGGTCGTTATTTTTAGAATAAGATGATATTCTGGAGTTCATTTAGTAACATTTCTAAAAATTACTTTATTTTCATTGGAAATACTAACCTACAACTGAACTATGTGATTAAAATATAACGTTGAACCTATTTTACCTTTTAATTTGCTTCCATGTACTTAAAAGGAAATTAATGTCTGATATTTTATATTTTATACAAGTATATATCTGTTGATATTGATATCATAACCTATTTTAACAATTTATAAGATTTTCTACAATTATTTGAAATTCATATATATCCTCAGTAAATTAATAATAACAACCTAATATTTCTGAATTATTTGCCTTACTAAATGTCAAGCACTATGCTGAATGTGTTATGCACATTATCCCATTTAATCTTCTCAGTAATTCTATCACATAGTCAATATTTTTATCTCCATTTCATAGTTAAAAATAATCAAGGATTTAACAAGTCTGATGGCTTATTTAAGGTCAAATTTTGAATCTGGGCCTGACTTCAGAGTCCAAATTCTTAATTTCTTTGCCATGTCATATTCTTAATACAACTGCTTGAATCAATATCTAATCCTCTTCCCATCTATGAGCTGATGATTCATGTGTACATTGTTTTCTCTTGTAACACACATGAAGTTGAACTGCTGAGACATGACCTCTCAGAGGTTCTCTGGCCTCTGGTATGTCTCATCTCTTGTTCCCAAATTTAACCACTAGAGAGCACTATTTTCCTAGTCTGAGGCTTGGATTACAATGATACACTTATGGAATTAATTATGGCTACTTTTTATTTCTTTTAATAAAATTACTATTAAAGTTTCTATATTAATAAATGTATGCCCTGTTAGAAATATCATAGAAGATTTAGGTTAAAAAATATATATCCAAAACCTAAATTAAAGCTTATTAGCTATAATTTTAATCTTTTATTATCTTTTACTATCTGTATATTGTCTGTGCGTTTTTAAATCATAGCCATAGTCCCAAACTTCTTAGGTTTCTTTTCTTTCAGAATAGGCATCTTTTCTTTCAGAATAAAAATGTCCTGGTGAAGTTACCCTCTCAGACCTTGGGGATAAAATGTCCCAGTATATATTTTGGCAAACCTACCTCAAGCATTCTAACTCCAATGGGTTTCAGAAGCATAGAAATCTTACCCAGTGAATAATCCAGCCTTTGTGCTGTGCTCCAAACCTCCACCAAAAATACTTCAGTTAAAATTTTTACCTGTTGTCTTTCACTTTGGCTGTTAAGGCCTAGGCAGAAATTAAGTATTTGCTATTTTTTCCTTGCTAAATTTTTATTTATTCAGCAAGATTTATTAAGTACTGGCTAGGTACTTAAGATATACAGATGCCCTCCAAGAATGCACCGTCTAGTTGGGAAACAGACCAGTAATAATTCCCATACATTTGGTAAATGCCAGGATAGAGGCAACACACAAAGTCTGAAAGACCAATCCAGACTTTGTGAGGACAATCCAGATATGTCTTCTAGAAGGACCCGAAATACAAGCTGAGATTTCAAGTATAAATAGAAATGAGCCAAAAACCCAAGGGCAAAGGTGAGCCAATAAGCAGTTCAACAGCAATGGCAGCATGTATGCACTTTCTCAGGAGGTCCTTTCTGCACCCCAGGCTAAACCTTGTAGAATTGTTTGCTCTAGTAACACCCCAGTCTTCTCGTTTTACAACACACACTGCCCTTATTCAGTATCTGTCTTCCACACTACTTGTGAATTTCATCAGAGTGGAGACAAGACAATAAAAGAGGATATCTGTCTTGTTTACTATTATAACCCCAGTGTTGAGCTGGAGTGGCACCTGGCACATGCGTATTTAGTAAGAATGTGTTGAATGTACAGACATGTTTATGTCCAGGCTTGAATGGAGCAATTAATATATCTTGAGAAGCAAAATCAAGTCTTTAAATGTCACTCAAATAGAGGATTTAATTTGCCACTTTCTAAAGTTTCAGCTGTGAACACAGTTAACCACCTTTCATCTCCTCCCTTAAATGTTATCTGTCCTCAAAAGGAGATATTTGATCATCTGATCTCTGTTTTAACAGGTTTTTGGATCAGTGTGGGGGAGGGCTTAAATCTGTTATTGGATTCCTCCTTAGAAGTGGAGGGCTACTTAATTAAATTTCTTTCCCTTAGGTAAGCAAAGTATAACAATATTAAAACAAAACAATACATCTGCCGATGAGTCAGGGTATCATCTCATTTCTATATTCAACACAGTATGTTCCAAACCTAAAGATTTTCTGTAGTCTGTATAAATAGTAAAATGTCCTTTTTTAAGTCAAGATAATTATTTATTAATGCATTTTTAATAAAGATTATACGGTGGTATTTGGCTGTTGGTAAATCAGCTGGCCCAGTTGAAAATAAAGAATCAGATAGGGAAGAAATATCCTGGAAAGTCTGATGCTAGGCCAAGAAATTTTGAACTATTGAAGTTTTCAGACATGAAAATGAGAAGTCTGTGTAGTTTACGTGGAACTGAAGAGACAAATATAAGCAAGAGGGAAGAAATCGCAAGAACTTCATAGCCACCTCAATGCCAGTGTGGATTAGTTGCAAGGGATGAGGAAAGAGTGAGAGAGTATATCTAGACTTGAGGAAAGAAGGCGGGTGTAGAGCTCTAGATGAAGAGACCCTCACACAGAATTGCTAATGCTGCATAAGCAAAATGAGTTATCTAAAGGAGATTCTTTAAAACAAGAGAATGGCAAGTCAGAGACTGGAATTAGGAATGGACTTGGGTGAGTAATGATATGAGGGAGAGGTAGAAAAGACATGGGGAAATCAGGGGGGATTGCACAGTAGGGGAGCCTATGTCATAAAGGTTAAAAGAAGAGTTTCAAGGACTTGATTTCCTCAATTCTTTTTCATTCCTTGTTTATTTGTTTCCTTTATAACCTTTGGTATACCACTGAGTGACTAGTGATTTTTAGGGTACATTAATTCCTGTTCTTTCTCAGGGATTTCTCTTCCCGTGTATACTCTGTACGCTCTCTGTAAAACTTTTGCAACAAAGGTTTCA